CTCAGGGGTTTTAAGGTTTAGGGGTTGAGGGGTTAGGAGTTTAGGGTTTAGGGGCTTAGGGTTTTAAGGTTTAGGGGTTTTGAGGGTTTAGGGGGTTAGGGTTTGGGTTTTAAGGCTTTGAGGATTTAGGGGTTTAAGGGGTTAGGCTCAGGGTTTTCAGGCTTTAATGGTAAAGTTTAGGAGTCGACGGGTTTAGGCTTGAAACTCCCGCGATGACACGCCGTGCGGCTCATTGGTTGGGCACGGCCTGCAGTCGAGCACTTGGAGGTTCCTGGTACTTATGAACCACTAGGGTTTAGGGTTTAGGGTTTAGGGTTTAGGGTTTAGGGTTTAGGGTTTAGGGTTTAGGGTACTTATGAACCAATTATCACTGTACCTATAACCCACTTGTAAGCCCCCTTAGGTGCCCCCTAATATGGCTATAACAGTACAGGTTACAAGTACAGATATGAACTGCTTAGTCGGTACCATGAGGTGCTGCTGTTTGCTGGTACATGTTCCACAAGGATCGATCTGAGCCTCAGGTTTTGGGCTACGCTACGCGCAACTTCTTGAGGCTGAGAGCTTCCAACTCTTCACCCCCTTTTCAAGTGAGGGTCCTTCTTCCCTTGCCGCAGATCCTGGGCAGTTTTCAAGGTCGCCTTGACCTCGCTCATCTCTGGGTTCAGGCTTAGGGAATTTTCAGGCCTTAGGGCTTAGGGTTTAGGAGGCTAAGACTTGCTGTTGTGTAGTTGCCCTTTTTTTGTTCGGGGGGGGATGTAGAGGTTGAGGGGCTTAGGGCTTCGGGTCTCAGGTTGAATGTTTCTTGTTGAAGACTCGCTTCCCAAAACCCAATAAGGGAAATTGCAAAATCTCCGAAGGGCCTACCTAGTAAATATTAAGCTGGAAGTAGGGGTGCGCTGAGTGTGCGAGAAATCAGATGCGTACACAATCGTTTAGTGGCCCCGTGCTCCTACGCCCACAACTAAGCCCACACCCTAAGCCCTAAGCCCTAAGCCCTACGCCCTAAACCCTACACCCTAAACCCAAAACGCTGCAACTGCACTAGTCTCAGGCACAGGCAACTTTGGCGCCATCGGCCTCTGCCAGGGGAGGGTTTAGGTTTTAGGGTTTTGGGTTTAGGGTTAAAGGCTTTAGGGTTTAGGGGGTGTAAGATTCTCAAGTTTAGTAGACGTCTGAACTCTTGAGCTCAGAGCCCGAAAACCGTAACCTGCACCCCAGCGCTTTCGTGAGGGCTTCACCCAAACGACCCAGTGCAACAAACAACTTGCTCCTACGGCTGCCCTGCCAAGATTCGGTTTAGGGTTTAGGGTCTAGGGTCTTGGGTTTAGGGTTTAGGGTTCAGGGTTTAGGGCTTAGGGTTTAAGTGGTTTGCTTACTGACTGGCTCTTGGGAGGAAGTAGATACCTTATGTAGACCCTTAAAAGGTATCTATGGGGGCATAGGCAAATAAGGCATCTAATTCCCTCTTTCCCTACTAAGAACCAGCAGGTTTGGGGTTTAGGGCCTGGGGCTTTGGGGTTCTAAACCCTAAACCCTAAACCCTAAACCCTAAGCCCTAAACCCTAAACCCTAAACCCTAAACCCTGAACCCTGAACCCTAAACCCTAAGCCCTAAACCCTAAACCGTAAACCCTGAACCCAACCCTGAACCCTGAACTCTGAACCCTGAACCCTGAACCCTGAACCTTAAACCCTAAGTCCTAAACCCTATGATCTCGAAGTGCAGAGTTCAGGGTTTAAGACTTCCGCAGCTTCCTGAGCTGTAACGGGGAAACCCTGCACCTTACAACCTGTGCTACCCATGATGCTGTCTAGGGTTTAGGGTTTAGGGCTTAGGGCTTAGGGTTTTGGGTTTTGGGCTCAGGGGTTAGGGTCAAGAATGCAATGACCGGGCAGAAAATGGAAAAGGCGCGAATGAGGCTAAAGAAGCGGATTCTGAGCAGGATTAAGACCTGAAAATGAACATGACCGGTTAGACAGTCCCATCAGCCTCACAAAAGCGGACACCAAACCCTAAACCCTAAGCCCTAATCTTAACCAGATGGGTGCGAAGCTTCCATGGGGTGGACTCATGGCCCTGGGGGTTTACAGAGTCTTGGGTGAGAGCTCAGGGGAAGCCAGGGTCTGGATGTAGAGTTTAGGGTTTAGGGTTTGAAACCTTGTGGTTTTTAGGGTTTAGGCTTCAGGCAGCTTCAGGGAAATTCAGGGTTCAGGGCTTGGGGTTCAGGGTTTTAAGGTTTAAGACTTGGGTTTAGGGTTAGGGTTTGAGGGTTTGGGGTTTAGGTTTTAAGGGTGTAGGGTGTAGGGTGTAGGGTTTGGGGCTCAGGGGGCTTTCCAGGCTTTTGGATTCTTTTGTTCCCCCCCTTGTGCGAGGAGCTTCGCTGCTTTCTCCGACGACCGGCTTTCTCATCGGATGGACGACACAGATTTCGTCGTCCACCCCCCATCTTCTCACAACTAGGCATCTTCCTGGTTACTCTCAGTGAGATGTACCGTATGTATAGATACTAAATTATAATAAACGAAAATATGTCTATATCTACATACATATATGTATATATATATATATATATTGTACATAGAAAGTGAGAGCTCATACTTCTTCCTACAAACATATCTGTGATGTGAAAAGGGCTCCTAGTTGAGACCAACTCGACCGGGCAACCGCAAAGACCCGAGAGCGCACTCAGGCGACGAGGATGCCGAGAATGCCAGCGACGCGCCCCTGAGGGTTTAGGGTTTAGGGTTTAGGGTTTTCGGGTTTAGGGTTTTGGGTTTAGGATATCTGTCTTGGAGCTTTAGCCCCTTTGGTTCAGGGTTGTGGAAGTTGTGGAAGTCGGGATATGCTACGGACGGCAACGGGAAGGAGTCTTCGTGTATAAACCCTATACACCCTATACAAAACAAACCCTAAACCCTCAACCCTAAACCCTAAATCCTAAACCCTAAAACCTCAACCCTAAACCCTACCTCAATAATCTCTCACTGCATCGATGGCAAGCAGCTGGCAGAGCCGGAGCGCCTTGCGGGTGCTGGGCAGCTCCCGCGCCGGCTGGGGGATGGCCCGGATGATGGGCGGGAGCCCTAGCCAGGGAGAGTTAGGGTTTAGGGTTCAGGGTTCAGGGTTCAGGGTTCAGGGTTTAGGGTTGAGGGTTTAGGGTTAGGGGTTAGGGTTTAGGGTTTAGGGTCCGCCGACCCTGGCGGCGTGTTGGATGGGAAAAGGAGGTGAAACCTCCCTCTTTCCCTCCTTACCCCCCCAAAACGCGGGGGGGGGGGGGGGGGGGGGGGGGGGGGAGGGGGGGGGGTGGGGGGGGTCGGTGCACAATTTTTTCGTGGAGGACCGCGCCACCCGCACAGCGTAAACAGGGGGTTCAGCACGGGGGGTAGGGGCGCCCTCAGCAAAATCAGCGTTTCCCACCTCTTTTGGCTTGAGCTTGTCCTGGTGCTACCCCCTACCCCCCCCCAAACGATTCACAGAACTCTGCCGGGGATGATCTTCCATGCGAGCGGGTCTCAACTATGCTCCAGCGGGGTCGGCGGCTTGAGCCGGAGGCTCTTAAAGTTAGGGTTACGTAGAGTTAGGGTTTTGAGTTCGGGTAGGGTTTAGGGTTTAGAGTTGCGGTAAGGTTTAGGGTCTCGCCTGAATGAACAAGGTGTTGTCTTTCGCATCCCTACGAAATTCTGAGCTCTTGCAAGGCTCTTATCTAAGGTTCCAAGTAAGGGCCCCTCATTTGGGTCCCTTGTTATCTCACCCGTATATACGCCACATACAATAAGGGCCCCTGGACTTCGGATCCATACAAGCAAGGGTAAGGGACCACACTAAGGGTCCACGGTTCCAACCTTAGACCCTAGACCCTAGACCCTAGACCCTAGGCCCTAGACCCTAAACCCTAAACCCTGCGCCCTAAGGGGCTCTAGATCTTAGCGCCACGGAGCGCTGTCGAGTTTTCAGCTCGTGGGGGGGGGGGGCCTGTGAAGGCCGCCAGGGCCACCAAAGCAGAAACCACGGGACCTGGGAGGAATTAGAGGGGTTTAGGGGAGATGAGGCTTTTCATGACGTTTCTATGGGTTCTGTGTGGTTTCTGTAAGGCCCCCAAAAAAGTGCACACTTTCAGTTCTATAGGGGATTGTAGTATCCCAAACAGTGTAAAGCGTACCCATTCAGCTACTAAATAAAAAGTGATGCCAAGTCGACCTGGGGGACGGGAGCCCCGGCCGCGACAGGCTGTGGCGTGAAGCCCTGGCCCCTTAGAGGCGTAGCCGGAGGCACTGTCCACACTTTCGAGCTTGCCAGGGTCAATGTCCTTCAAGGGCACCAAAGGAGGGACGGTTACAAGGGAAATTATGGGTTACTTAGGGGCTACTGAAGTCTACAAGGACCCAAAAAAGGTGTGTGTGTGTGTGTGTGTATATACATATATATATATATATATATATAGGGGTGATATAGGGGTCCCTCCTTATATCCCTTAAAGTCCTGCTCCAGCGCCCCATCGGGACTCCTGATGTCAGGACAGGGGAGTTCCAAAGAACCCACTCGTTGTTACAGACGGTCAGCTAAAAAAAGGAGCACCCAGTACCCAGCACCCTAATCCTACACCCCTCTAGATGCCAGACCTGAAGTCCAAGGTGCCAGGGAAGAAGGTCGATGGCAATGAGGTTTAGGGTTTAGGGTTTAGGTTTAGGGTTTAGGGTGGGGGTTTGGGGTTTGGGGTTTGGGGTTTGGGGTTTGGGGTTTGGGGTTTGGGGTTTGGGGTTTGGGGTTTGGGGCGATCGCATCTCACACATGAGGGGAGGGGGAGCTTCTCGAAACAGTGGGTTTCTGCGCTAGCCACCTTTTGGGGGGGGGGGGGGGGGGGGGTGTAGGGTTTAGGGTATCACGAGGCTGCTTGGAGGAGCTTTGTGATGTAGTTGTCCCTTCAGTTGGGCTTCCGACACTAACAGACTTACCGTTCAAACCAAACACACACGACACTAAACCGTAAACCTGTAAACGCACACCCAGAGGTGCAGCGGAGATCGTTTGGCAAAAGCTCCGCTCAAACAAAGTGAAAACGTTTTCTTGTCACAACATTGCAAGCAATACGAAACAAAAATAAACACTCAAAAACAACAACCTAAGCCCTAAGCCCTAACCCCTGATTTGTTAACCCTAAACCCTGAAATCGCAAGACCCTCAACCCTAAACCCTGAACCCTGAACCCTAAACCCTAGACCCTAGACCCTAAACCCTACACCCGCCTACACCCTAAACCCCAAACCCGAAATCCCAAACCCTAAACCCTAAACCCTAAACCGTACACCCTAAACCCTCAACCCTAAATCCTAAACCCTAAACCCTCAACCCTCAACCCTCAACCCTCAACCCACAACCCTCAACCCTCAACCCTAAACCCTAAACCCTAAACTCCAAGCCCGAGGTTCAGGAGGCCCTCGCGCACCATGGTGGCGCGCACGCGGGGCGCGCTCCAGCCCAAGGCTTCGAGCTCCTCAGGGCTCTTTAGGGGGTTCTTGAGGGGTCGTTTAGGGTTTAGGGTTTAGGGTTTAGGGTTTAGGGTTTAGGGTTTAGGGTTTAGGGTTTAGGGTTTAGGGTTTAGGGTTTAGGGTTTAGGGTTTAGGGTTTAGGGTTTAGGGTTTAGGTTTAGGGTTTAGGGTTTAGGGTTTAGGGTTTAGGGTTTAGGGTTTAGGGTTTAGGGTTTAGGGTTTAGGGTTTAGGGTTTAGGGTTTCTGGTTTAGGGTTTCGGGTTTAAGGTTAAGCCCTCAATCAAGGAGCTCCAACCCCTAACAGGCCCTGCAATCCTGAGCCCGGCCCTAAGCCCCAAGACGTCTCTGAGGGTAGTTACACGGTCCCTTAGTATGGGCCCCTTCTAAGGGTACCCCTTGTATACCCCTTATATACCCTATACAGATTAAGGGCACATACATCAGAACCCCTTTAGAGGAGGTTAGGGACCATATTAAGGGCCCATGCAACTTCGTAAACCCTAAGCCCTGAGCCCTAAGCCCTACGCCCTGAACCCTAAACCCTAGACCTAAACCCTAAACGGTCTAGGTCTTTAGAGGTATACCTTGAGCCCCTAACTCAGACCAACCCCCAATCCCCGCAGCTCCTGCGCGCGCTGCGCCACCAGATCTCGATCGCGTGCGGAATCCTCTGACCCTGGCGCCGGATCGGCCTTCGCCTTGGCGCTGTTGTGGGGTTTTGGAGGGTTTAGGGTTTAGGGTTTGGTGTTTACTTAGGGTTTAGGGTTTAGGAAAAACACTCAAATCCAATCAGTGCAGACATTGCCCAAGGAGTTGCTTCGTAGCCTTATCAAGAAGCAGACGGCTGATCCTAGGGCTTAGGGCTTGGGGCTTGGCCTTGGGGCTCCGGGCTTAGGGCTTAGGGCTTGGGGCTCAGGGCTCAGGGCTCAGGGCTCAGGGCTTAGGGTTTTAGCATTTAGGTTTAGGGTTTGTTGGGGGAAACCTGGCCTCTGTACAAGTGGCGTCTCAACACAGCCCTTGGCCGCCTGCGTTCAACACGACCTGTGAAGTAGGGCAGACGGAGAAGTGACGAGACTCACACAGCCCCGAAACCTGAAAAAACCACACTTGGGCGCCGCGCCCAAAAACCCGTTAAACCCAATGCAAAAAAAGCCCTGTAAGATCTGAAACCCTAAACCCTAAACCCTGAAGCCACAAAGAGCCCACGACTTTCTCAAAGCTGCCTCGGGCATGAAGCCGCGGAAGTGTCCCAGGGCCTTCACGAACATCTTCCCTGGCCCACAAATCATGTCTTTGTCTTAGTTGCTGAGCCCATGAGCCCCCCAAAAGTGTACGCTTTCAGTTCTATAGGGATTATAGTATCCCTTAAAGTGTAGTAAAGTGTACTCATTCAGCTACAGTACTAAGTTGCTGCATGGACCCTGAACCCCAGAGAGCCCTGCACCCCAAACTCTGAACCATGATGAAAGGTTGCCAAAGAGGCCCGCAAGTTCTGTGTACAGGAGACGGGAAAAGAAGGGTTGCAGCAAACCCAAACACAAAGCCCTAACCTTAGACCCAATTCAACCCTAAACTCTAAACCCAAAACCTCAAACCCCCAAACCCTATGTAAGCCCTAAATCTTAAGCCCCCTTTCGAGGCTCTGAAGCTCTACGAAGAGGTGACTGGGTATTGTGGTTCAAGGTTTTGGGTTCAGAGGGTTAGGGTTTGAACCCGAAACCTCAAGCTTCCTAAGCTTTGAAACCCTAAAGCTTGCATGGCTAAGGGACTTAGGATTTCCATGTTTAGGCAGTGCAGCTGTCAAGCCTGCAGCTGTCAAGTGGTAGAGCTCTTTTGGGTGTAGGGCTTTGGGGTTATTCAGCGATTAGGGTTGCGGGATGGATTGGATGTCCTTCCCAGTAGATCTTCCCGCAGCCGCCGCAGAGCCAGAATTCATCGAAATTGTCCAAGGTCTTCTGCGCGACCTGCTTGGTAGCCAGGTAATTGACGATAGTTTTAGTCAGGGTGCCCGTTTTTTTTGGGGTCGGCTACTTGATAAGGGAACCTTGAATCAAAAAAGGGAAAAGGGGCCCTACCGGGCTACCAAGCCTTGTAAGCCTCAACCCTAAACCCCCAAAATCCCAAACCATCAAACCTATTGACCCTGGCAAACCCTAAGCAGTCCCGAACAAAACCCCAAACCCACGGCGCGAAACCAAAACCTAAATCATAAAACCCAACACCTTATCAAACCAATGCCCTGAACCCGAACCCCAAGTTGTGAGGGATGAGAGTCTACCAGTCGATCAGGGATGCGAATGAAAATAGAGGTTTCCCAGCAAAGGGCGAAGGAAATGGAGGTTTGCCTGTTAAACGGCAAGGTTTTCCTGTAAAATATTTGAAGGTGTTCCCATCCAAGCCTATACCTGACAAGCCCCATGAAGAACCCTAGTCCCCTCAACGTTTGGGCTTTGGGGTACTTTGCTTCTTATCGTCGACTCTGACACCTCTGAGGTTTTAGGGTTTAGGGTTCAGGGTTTAGTCTTGAAAGTTTGAAGGCTGCCAGCAGGTACGGGACACTGTACCGCGAAGCAGCCCTAAATCCTATACCCTGAACCCTGGATCCTAAAACCCTGGAACCTAACCCTAAACCCTAAAACCTGAATCCTAAGGTCAGAGTCCTGAAGTGACTCAGGTTCCACCCCCAACGGCCCGAAAGCCCTTCAGAAAGGGACTGTTGAGCCCTGAACGCCAAGAAGCCCTGAATCCCTTAATCCCTACTCCCTAAACCGAATACACTGAAGCCCGAAAACGCTTAGAAACCCCAACAGCCCTAAGCTCCAATAAACCCCAACCCTAAACCCTAAACCGAAACCCCAAACCCGAAACTCTAAACCCTATAAACCCTAAACCCTAAACCCTAAACCCTAAACCCTAAACCCTAAACCCTAAACCCTAAACCCTAAACCCTAAACCCTAAACCTCAACAGTCGCTTGGACAGACACCTGGGGGTTCCCGCGCACGGCATCGCGGCTCACGAGATTCCAATCCCAGGCGTTGCAGTGCACGCATCGGCCGCAAAGGCAGTCCGAATCCACGTCCACGTCGAAGGCCTCTGTAAGTATGCAAACCCTGAATACGCCCTGAACACACCCATCATAAAACCGCAAACAACAAGACCTTCAACCCAGAACAAGGCCCAAGACGCAAGCTCACCCGACCCCAAACCCTCAACCCTGACAGTTTAGGGCTTAGGGTTCAGGGCTCAGGGCTTGGGGTTTAAAGCTGAGGGCTTGGGAGTCCTAGACCCTAAACCCTAAACCCTAAACCCGAAACCCTAAACCCGAAACCCTAAACCCTAAACCCTGAACCCTTAAGCCCCGGACCTCGATGACCTCCCGTAGTTGCTCGTCCGGCGTCGTGCTTTGCAGGACATATGTTCGATGAGCCACGCGGGCCGGTAGCAGCTTCCTAGTTGCTGTGTTTAGGGTTTCGGGTTTAGGGTTTAGGGTGTAGGGTTTAGGGTTTAGGGTTTAGGGTTTGGGGTTTAGGGTTTAGGGTGTAGGGTTTAGGGTTTGGGGTTTAGGGTTTAGGGTTTAGGGTTTGGGGGGGGAGGGGGGGGGTACCCCGGGCAGAAAAAGATTAACCTTTCAATTGTGGTAGGATTTTATATACCCCAAAAAGGTTGAAGGTTACCTACTCAGCTATTAAGGCTTCCTTACGTCTTACATGGAAGTGCTTTAGGGTTCAGGGGTTTCGGGATTATAGCCCTCTTTGGAGATCCAGTGCGGTGAAGACGCAAAACATGTTTGGGAAGTTTTTTTTTTTTCTTCCGTTTCTTTTTGGGTTTGGGGATTTACTCTACTAGGAAACCTCTACTATCTCTGTATTTCAGTAGGAAAACCTCTATTTTCTACATACTGGCTATGTTTATACATTAATTACTAGATAAAACCTCTGTTTTCTATATGTGGTAATGTATTTCAACCGATGTATTTCAACCGGACAACATGTATTTTCCATATCTTGTTAATCGGAACCTTTATGTCCAATTCATGTTAACAGGAAATCTTCTCTAGATTTTACAAGAAACTGACTCCTTTGCTCAATATTACAATAGGAAATTAAAACCTGTGTTCATATATTTCTTTAGCTATTATGTAGGGAGACCTCTGTACAATTTAATACAAAAAACCCTGGTTCTCTTTGTATTGTACTCGGAAAACATCTTTTTCTATATCTGTTTAGTAGGAAAACCTCTACGTTCTTCATCTTAAACAGGAAAACTCCTATTTCTCTGGAATTTTACTCCAAGTTGAATGAGAAAACCGATTTTCCTGAATATTTCATTGGGAAAACCTGGATTTTGTCTCTGTACTTTACGGCGAAAAGCTTGCGCGGCAGAAAAAAGCAGGGGTCGCATGATGGGTCTGCAAAAAGACTCATTTGCTTTGAAGTAAGCTTGCGCGGCTCAGAAACAGGGAAACAGGGGGGGGGGGGGTGGGGGGCGGACGCAGCCGCCCCCCCCCCCCGCCCGAGTTTCGAGGATAACACAACCAGTTGGAGGATACCAAACAAAGAAAGTGGCTATTACAACTGAGGAGGCCTCAGAACGCGGATAGCACAACCAGTACCTTGCATGTTGGTGCATATTTATTGCAACCGGAGGCCATTCTGGCTCATGCGAATGTCTGCAGAGTTTGGCGACCCCCTCAGGGTCTGACTGGCTATGTCAAGCTTCGAGGTCAAGGTAGAAGAGCTTTCTGATTTTTCCCAAAAGGTAAGAGATAAACACATGATTGGGCAATCACATATGAAAGCAATCAATGTTGCAGAAACGAAGTAAAGCTCCTGGTGTAGGGAATTCTGCGGCCCACAGCACATAAAAGTCATGAGGACACCACGAATCACTGGGCAACCACATGTAAAATCAAGAAGTGTTTCAGACGACGAAATAAATCCATGTTTACAGGCTCCTGGTGAAGGGAATTCTGTGAGAGTCAATGCAAGGATGCAAGCGAACCCGAGAAGCTTTTACACCACCAGCTGCGCTGGCGAACCCTATGCCTCAAACCCTAAGATTTTTACCTTAGGTCACTCTTAGGGTCACAAGGGTTTTGGGTTTAGGGGGGTTTTAGCATCAAGGTTTCACCGTAGGAGCCACAGGAGTATCTGAATTGCCCTAAGGGGGCCCCTTGAAAAGCTCAGAGATTTTTTTCAGCAAGCTTCTTGGCTCGGTAGTACAGAATGATCCGGTCTTCCGCCTCGGCAGTCTCGACCAGCTCGCCCTGGGGAGCCCCTGAGGAGCACAGCTTGGCTGAGGTCTGGGGTTTGGGGTTCGGGGTTTTGCCTACCCTAAACCCTAAACCCTAAACCCTAAACCCCAAACCCCAAAATCAACCTGCAACATAATCCCGATCGTTCAGTTGCATATGAGTATAGGCCATGTCTAAGTCTATCATATGCACTTCAGGAGATAGGTTTCAAGAAGGGATCGTCGAGCCTACTGAGCTTGGCACCCGAGCAAAATGTTAATCTTAGCTGTTCCTTAGGAATTATAGTAGCCCAAGATTAAAATTTGAACATTTAGCTGTTCCTTAGGAACCAAAGATTAAAAACTATTTCCAAGTACCAATAAGTTCAAAGAGGTTATAAGAGGACCAGGTCAACGACAAAGAGTCATGTAGTGAGGGCTCATGCAGCAATGCAAAACAAATGGAGGTGGCAGGTATTATGAGGTTCTTGAGGGTGGGGGGTCATTGGGGTAAACCCTAAACCCTAAACCCTAAACCCTAAATCCGTAGGTGCCTCGGACCTAGGGAACCTTTGGGAAGCTTAGGGTGTGGAGGGGACCCTGCCTTGAGAACCCGGTATTTTCATCAGTGGAGCTCGGACACAAATCGCGGACACCCGACACCCGAAACCCTAAAACCCATGCCATAAACCAGGAAGCCCCTTAAGCCCGCCAAAAAGACTTCGAACTCCAAAAAAGAAGAAGCTAACTTGGAGACCCTAAGCCCCAAGCGAGTTTTCTTGACAAGAAACTTGGGATGTTCCCCTTATACTAACAGACCGTAAGAAAGACTCCTAGTACCCCTTATTTTGGTATTAAGGACTGCTAGTACAAGGGGGAACTTCCCAACAAGAAACCCCAAACCCTCCCGCCTTCGCGCAGGATCTCCGTGTCCAGGCCAAGCCCCCGCATCTTTCGGAGGAGCCGCGTGAGCACGGATGGGAGGACAAAGCACAAGTCGCTGTTCTTCTCCTCAGATTTTCCCCCATAACTAAGGCTCTGTGGGGGCAATTAAACTGAATTAAGGTTCTTTAAGGGTGAAGCTAGGGGGAGTAGTATAGAGGGGCGGGGGGGGTAGTAGGGGAACCCGTGATTCGGGGTCTTTTGGATCTTCAATCATGTTGAGGGCCCTAAACCCTAAACACCAAGCACCCTAAAAGAGTTGGGTCTGATAGCAACCTTGGATGAAAAATGCATCCGGTCTTGCTTGCTGGGGCTTATTCATGTAACGGAAGCTGACACGAAAAACAAAACGGTAGACCCTGAAACCCTAAAGCCCTAAAAACCTAAACCCCTAAACTCAAAAAAACCTAGAAAACCCGCGAAAACCAGAAAACCCTAAAACCCTAAAACCCGAAAACCCTAAAACCCGAAAACCCTAAAACCCCAAAACCCTAAAACCCTAAAGCCCTAAAACCCGAAAACCCTAAAACCCTAAAAACCGCCTGAAACCCTAAATCCCTAAATCCCTAAAACCCTACAACCCTAAAACCCTACAACCCTAAAACCCTAAAACCCGAAAACCCTTAACCCCTAAAACCCTGAACCTCCAAAATGAACAGCGGTGAATGAACAGCGGTGCCACACTGAGATCCCAGGCTCCCGCCCAGAACCTGACAGAAGCCTCACAAGGGTTTTAGTTGTTTCTTTTTTTTGTTTAGGATTTTAGGGTTTCAGGGTTCAAGTTTTATGGTTTAGGGTTCAGGGGCTTCATAGGGCGTTTAAAGCTTGAGGGTTTAGGATTTAGGGTTAGATGGGAGAAGGGAGAAGGGTTTAGGGTTTGGGGGCTTTGAAGGATTCAGGGTTTAGGGCTGAAGCTTTAGGATTCTAGGGCTTTAGGATTTTCGGGGCGGTTCTGTAGGGCTTTCGGGCTGTCGGGTTTAGGGTTAAGAGCTGAGGGATGTAGTCTTGTGAGGTCAGGATTAGCAAGACGTTTGCACGCTTCTAATCGCGATAGCAAAACACTCAGACTTCTTGGCAATGAGGGTTGTAGCTGCGGTCAAACCCTCAAACCTCAACCCTCAACCCTCAACCCTCAACCCTCAACCCCAAACCCTAACCCTGTAAACCCAACATACAAAAACCGCTTGGGGAAAAGTGCCCGCAATTCTCGTGGGCTGCGTTGATTCTTGGAGGAATCACTGTTCCGAAGCCCAAAACACCTTAGGGGTTTAGGGTTTCGGGTTTAGGGTCAGGGGTCCCTAAACCCTAGACCCTAGACCCTAGACCCTAAACCCTAAACCCTAAACGCTCAGGAATGCCTCTGGCGCTGGCGCGTCGGCTGGGCTCGGTACTGCCGCCACCGCGCCTAAGTTCTCTGAGGGGGTACAACAGTGCTTGGGGTTTAGGGTTTAGGGTTTGGGGCTTGGGGTTTGGGGTTTAGGGTTTGGGGTTTGGGGTTTGGGGTTTAGGGCTTAGGGTTTGGGGTTTAGGGTTTGGGGTTTTGGGAATTTGGGGGATTTGGGGTGTAGGGGATTTGGATGTCAGTGCCTCAAGCCGAAGGCAGCCGAAAGGCCCGTAAAACAAAACCTGAAATGCTCTACACCCCCAAGCCCTAAACCCTAAACCCTAAACCCTAAACCCTAAGCCCAAGGCGCCCGCTCGGCCTCCATGGTCACCTCGCCTTGCGGCTCTTTGGCAGGGCGTGGCTTCAGATCCCAGGGCGGTCGGGGCGGAACCTCGCATCTCAGCCTCGCTAGGTTTAGGGTTTAGGGTTTAGGGTTTAGGGTTTAGGGTTTAGGGTTTAGGGTTTAGGGTTTCGGGTTTCGGGTTTCGGGTTTCGGGTTTCGGGTTTAGGGTTTAGGGTTTAGGGTTTATGGTTTAGGGTTTAGGGTTTAGGGTTTAGAGTTTAGGGTTTAGGGTTTAGGGTTTGGGGTTTAGGGTTTAGGGTTTAGGGTTTGGGGTTTAGGGGCTAGGTCCGAGGGCCGGGGGCCCAGGGCCCGCAGGGCGCGGGGATCCCCGGGGCCCCGGGACCCATGGTGTATAGGGTTCAGCTCTTTAGGGTTTAGCTCTTTACGGTTTAGGGTTTAGGGTTTAGGGTGTAGGGTGTAGGGTGTAGGGTTTAGGGCTTGGGGTACTACGGCTCCCCCGGTAGCCTAAGGAGAATAAGAGGGATCAACCTGCGCAGAGGACCATATTCTTCAGCAGCCAACGACAGGCGTACAGTAGGGTTTGAGGTTTAGGGTTTAGGGTGTAGGGTTGTGGGTTTAAGTCATAACCACACGATTGGATGTTAAGTTACAGCCATGCGTACATTACACCCAGCTAAATAGTATACACATGAACACCCAAGTATGGGGCCTAAACCTCGCATCAACTCTCTAAACACTAAGCATCCGAACCCTTTGCCACAAAAGAAGCCGCCTCTAACTCGCCTCTATAGGCTAAGACCTCATGAAATCCCCCTAAACCCTAAACCCTATAAACTTCTAATCCTAAACCCTAAACCCTATACCGCAACAACACTACAACCCTATAACCTCCTATAACCCTATCACCCCTGAAGCCCTACAACCCCTTAAACCCTACAAGCCCGCCCAAAATGCCAGGAAGGAACAAGCGCAGCAAGACGGCCGCGTCCAGGGCAGCGTAGGTTCGCTGCGCCGGGCTCAGGGGCCGCCTTCAAGGGCTTCGCTTTAGGGGGGTTGTATATAGGTTCGGGTTTAGGGTTTAGGGTTTAGGGTTTAGGGTTTAGGGTTTAGGGTTTAGGGTTTAGGGTTTAGGGTTTAGGGTTTAGGGTTTAGGGTTTAGGGTTTAGGGTCTAGGGTCTAGGGTTGAGGGTCGCTTTAAGGGTTCTAACCCCAAACCGTACTCCCAAAGAGAAAGAAACTTCCAACTTCGAGACGCTAGGTCACCGGTCCCAGTTCGATGTCTGCAGGCGCTTGTCCATCCAAAGCCTCAGGGTTTAGGGTCAGGGTCGAAGGTCTAGGGTCTAGGGTTTGGGGCTTGGAGGTGCGTGTAGAGGGTGCATCAAGGGAGGTTGAATGTAACCTCCTAAGACCCTAATTAACCCTAATTAACCCTAACTAACCCTAACTAACCCTAATTAACCCTAATTAACCATAATGCCCTAAACCACTAAACCCTAACCCTAAACCCTTAACCCTAAACCCTTAACCCGAAACCCTGAACCAACAGCCGAAGAACCAAAGAAAAGCTACCACTGGGGAGCCCAGGAGCCCAAGCGTGCCGGCCACCACGGCTTGGAGACCGGGTGGGGGGCCCGTGGGCCCGAAGCCTCGGTATGACTGAGGGATCCTAGGGTTATTAGGGTTTAGGGTTTAGGGTTAAGGCTTAAGGGGTTTGGGGTTTGGGGTTTAGGGTTGAGGGTTTAGGGTTTAAGCTTTAGGGTTTGGGGTTGAGGGTTGAGGGTTTAGGCTTAAGGGGTTGTGCCTAAGTTGTGGGCTAAGGTTTGTAGGGGGAAGAAGGTTCACCACCCCAGCCAGAACCTGAACCTTCAGAGCCATGAGTTCGGAGCTTCCTCTGAAAAAACCATGCTCTTAAGCCAAGGAAAACATAAAATATCCTAAGGGCCTACCCTGATCCTCCGTAAACCCCTAAACCCTCAACCCCTAAACGCTCAACCATCAACCCCTAAACCCCTAAACCCCTAAGCCCCTAAGCCCCTAAGCCCCTAAGCCCCTAAGCCCCTAAACCCCTAAACCCCTAAACCCCTAAACACCTAAGCCCCTAAACTGCGTGAGGTCGGGTAGTTGCTTGCACTACGCTTTGGCTCCTCACCAGCCAAATGGTCTCGCACTTGTTTTCTGCACTGATGTTCGCCTTCAGTCTCCGTCTCGTGCACCCGGGCGGTTTCCAGTTACGCTATTGCGCTTACTTCCAACCTATGGGTGACCTTCACTCTAGGGATTACTTGAGCCAATGTGGTGAACAGGCCACGGCGTTCTAAAGTGGTTTCCCCGATGTGCGGCGGAGCCGACACAAAGGGGTCCCCAAAACGTGCTGTGGTTCGGGGATCATTCACACCCCCCACGGCTGGGATTTGCAAAAATGCTAGACGAACTTGCGTCACGAACATACAATGGTCCCAGTTAAAAGCGACTTAAAGTCTGGCCGTTCTCCACTGTTTTGCTCTCTTTGCCCGAATTGATAGATGTGAGACAGACTCTCAGCTACTGAAGCGTTCAATCCCATCCTTTGTCTGTACAAAGACTTGCTGCTCACGGTTGCGGAATCATGGGCGCGAAAGGCCCTGAAAACATGTCAGCAAATTGCTGATCCATCACATTGCGTCTCCAGAATGCATGACTGAAAAGCAGTAGCATCGGCCAAGTTAGCAGAGCATAACCCATACCCACTCGGCTACCACACGAGCTGCGAAGAATCGCACATTTCCCTCCAGCGAGCGCATTGGCACATTGCCCCGCTGCTGCTATGCAGTGGCCAAAAAGAGAAATAGCATCGGTGGATATAATGACGTACTCCATCGTATTATCTGTTGCATCCATAGGGAAAAGAGGAATCAAAACTGAGAACGCAAAATGCTGAGCCACAACCAGATTTCAGGAATACCATGGATTCCAGGGGATGACATACCGGAGGATCCGAGTGCATCATTCACCCTTTCTTTCCCGATCCCTTTCTCGAATGACCGCGAGGATCTTTGGGAGCAGCTTGAGGTGTCCCAGGATGAGAAGTCTTGGGCTTCGGCTGACTCATGCGGGCCTTCGCACGTGCCGGCATGTCCGTCTCGTCTGCTTCAGGATGACGAGATCCTCCCGACGAAGTAACCGAAGGTGCGGATGCTGAAGGGTCATAGGCAAGGTACAAAGCCGACGCCTTTGGATTCTCCAAATACTGTGTGGGCTTCAACTTCAGGATGCTCATGTCCTTCTTTTGATCACTCAACCATCTGTCCAGCTTCTTGCTGTACTGGTTGGGTAAAGCGCACCCCGAATCCCTCATCACCAGAAGGTTGTTAACGCTCACCTTCTGCGAGTCCATCAAACTGAGCAGCTGGATCGGGTTGATGTATTTGAATGCCGCGTGGTACGGGATCTCAGCGTTGGGTTTCGTGTAGGAATAAAGCCTCACGTTCAGCACCTGATAGATGATTTTGGCCATGAACACGTGGACCCTTTGCCCGGCTTCAGCAAATGCTTTCGGGTCCTCGGCCTCATCCGGAATCATGGGGAGGTTGAAGCTCTCCTTGTTGTATCCCAGCTGGATCGCCCCACGCATGACGTAGAAGACGAACTTGTTGGCGTAATAACGCTCAATCATGAACTGCTGGTTCTCCACAGAGCTGGCATACTGCCTTACCTCGTCTTCCATGAGGTCTCTCGGCAACGCCGTGTCCTCATCGATGGGGACAATTGGCCATGTCCCAGATGCGTCGTGTCTCATGCCTGAGGCGAACTGGTCCTTCATCTTCTTGTATGGAGTCATGATGATTTTCTCAAACAGATTCCATTTATGGACCAGCACGTACGCAAAGAAGGCGTCGAGGTGACAGTACAACCTGAAGTTGTGGTCCACGCACGCTGCATAGTCCGTGTCGATGTTGACGTTGCACTCCAGCGCAAGGCGAGCTTTCCTCTCGTTTCGATCGTCCAACGTATCGCCTTCCCTGTCTCCAACCAAAACGAATGCTCGCTGGTTCTGCGCATCCATCTCCACTTCCTCTTGGTTGGGAGCCTCCATCTCCACATCGCGGTACATGTCGCGAATCTCGTCGGGGATCTCCTCGGCCTCAGGTTCCGCCACGCTTTCTCGAGGACTGTTTGCCTCCACATCCCCTGCCGGATTCTGCACCCCGCGGAGCGGAAGCGCATCCTCCTGGACAGGTTCTGAAGTTGGCTCCTCTTCCACGTCAATCTCCACGGCCTGGTTGAGTGCCTGGTGGACCACTTCCGGATCAATCCTTTCGGGTTCCGGATTGGCACGCACATGCTGGATCCTCCCCATGGAAAGGAAAACTCTCCCACACGTGAGGCAAATTGCGAAGCTCGCAGGGGTATGCCTGCCGCAGCAGGGGCAAACCCTCAAGATCAGCGGATCGCTTGTGGTGGTGTGAGTCGTCACTCGCCGGAATGTCCTTGAGAGAAACTGGAAAGCACGCTTGATGATGTTTCCAGGAACGGTGTCGCCCGCCTGCTCAATTGCTTGCAAGATCTCGCGCCTCTCTCCTTCATGCGGGCCAGCGTCGGTGCCTTCCATGGTGCTGACGAGGTCTTCCACCGAAGGTTTTGGAGGGTCACGATCGGGATTGATGCGTGCGTCCCCATACCCTTCGACCATCTCCTTGGACAGCTCTTTGGAGTACACCTTGAAGACTTCGCTGAACTCGAAGTACCTTCCTTGGCTTGGCATGCAGATCCAAACGTGCTTGACGGCCTCGAATGGAATTTGCCGCTGGACGAGAAACATTCCATTGATCGTGATCACTGCGTTGTAGCGCATGAGTTCATAGGCTGGAACGTACAATACTGCAATTGGTGACCTCGGCCTTCCGGGAATCCTTGTTCTCACCGTCTGATTTCTCGGATCCCATGGCGGGAACGTCCCGAAATGGCTGTGGACTCGACCGCCTGACGCCCCTCCACCTGGAAGAAGTCCTTTCGCCACGATGTTGGCGAGAAGCTCTGGGGCCGTGGTGTGATACCCCCCACCAATCTGGTTGACCAAGCTCGTGGTCAAGTGGCATGCGACCCGGTCGTCATTCACCCGCACCAACGAATTGGAGTTGCTGGAGTGTCCACTTGTGGCCCTGATCGCCCATGGCTGCACCCAATTGTCGCATCGACGTAGGGTACCGGACGTGATGTCATGCGTCAACCTGTGCCCTCCGAGTTCTTCAAGTTGGGCACGCTGGGTGGCGCCGACGCCCGGAGTGCCGTCCCACGGCGTATCAGATGCTCTTTGTCCAGGTTTGGGCGCCACGATCTTGATGCCCAGGAATTGGAGTCTAATTCTCCCATTGGTGCGGTACTCGTAGTACGCATAGTCGATCAGCATTTGAATTCTTCTCTGATACTCCGAGTTGTCGTCTCGAGCTGAACTCCTTGCGTAATACCTCCCGCTTTGCCAGAAGTTCTCCAAGTGGATGAAGTCTTTGAGCATCACCCATCCTCCGGTGTCGCACGGGATTGTCGGGAGCTGATTGTGCATGTAATTCGTTTCTCTGTTTGCTAGGCGGTGCCTAAGCAAACGTTGCACATCATAGCCCAGGGATTTGATCCTGCGATGATAATCCCGATTGCGATGGTTGTCATTGGAGGAAGTCGCGGGAACCAGGGCCGAAAAGTGCCTGTGAGCGAACCTTGCACCCTTGATGGGTAGGAGCCGGAGGTCCCCTCCGATGACCAGCTTGCCGATGTTCACGTACCCCACGTTCGAGGAAGGATACTCATCGATGTCGCTTCGGAGAGGGTGTGTTGCAACGTCTCCTCCAACCTCCTGCTCAATCAATCGGCGCGTTGCATCCTGCGATTGTAATCCGATCTCGTAGATGCTCTGCCCGCCGACCCACGATACGTCCTCGATGGACTTGATGATGTCAAGGCAAGACTTCGGCTCGTGGTAGCCGGCGTTGTTCGCAATCCACCGCCTAGGAGCTGGCGCAGCTTTGGGCTCTGGAAGATCAGGTCTCGGTTGGGGCCTGCGTTTGGGTCGAAGCGTTCTTGTCGCAGTTTCTTCTGGTTCTTCATCGACTTCGATCACGACCACTGTAGGATCCTCAACTGAGATTGATGCTTGACGCCGTCTTGGCAGCGGGCCTCTGGAATCCTCCGAAGACGCTGCAGCTCCAGGCTCAACGCTTTCCCCATCCCCACCCGGAGTATCCGAAGCGGTTCCTGGTACTTGCGGAGCGCGAGCGGCATCTCGCAAATTCTTCTCTGCCCATCTCTGGAAGATCTCTGTTGGTGGCGTACTGCTTGACTTGTGCATCTTAGCCAGGCTTTTCCCAATGATGCTGAATGCTTCGTTCACCACCAGAGCGTTGTACCCCCCATTTGCTTCGCAATTTCGGGTGTTGTGGCCATAGTTGCCGCAAGCAAGGCACATGCTGGGTGGTTGCATACCAGCGGTTATGCGTAGGGCATTGAGTGCTCGGACGTAACTTTCACAAGGACGCGATATCTCACCCAGCTCGGTCTCGTTCGGTTCTTGCATGGTGGGGATAGAGCTTGCCTCGGGCACGCCCATATCATCATCTTCCTGCCCCTCAGGTTCCACGCCGGAGGATCCGAGCGCTTCCCCTTCATGGGCTTGATC